GACCCTTGGCCAGGAGGGTGTCACATTCATCGTGCTGGACAAGCGAGGCCCCCAGCTTGGCCAGCCTATCAGCACCATGGTTGCCAGTGCGCTCGAAATCTGACAAGAGGCCGTCTCTGACATCCTTGGCCGAGGCGTGAGCAGGGACCTTCTTAACCCTGGCCCCCTCAAGGCCTCCCGAAGCCCAAGACTGCAACCAGAGGTGGGCCCTGGGGTTGGCCGAGGAGACCGAGCGCGCTCTATGTTTACAACAGTCTAGCGTTCCCTTGCAGTCAGAGTACAGCGTGAAATCGCCTGCGCACAGCTTCGAGACGATAAAAAACACTATAGTCCTCGCCGTCACGCGCCACCTGATCAGGCAAGGTGGCTGGGGGCACAGAACCATACCACTCCGCTATACACCTGCGTAACTCATCGAAGACGGTGACTCCCCATCCAGCAACACGCATGGACGGGAACAGTCCATCTAGGCCTGAACCATCACAGAAAACATGCCCCTCGGAAAGCATAAGCGGCCCAGCAAGGCCTCCGTCAACGCGAAACTCCGTGGAAGGATCCCAGGGTTTCCTGGCCAGAAGCTGGCACGGGTCAGGAAGGATTCCTCGGGAAAACCGCTCTTGCAGCTCGATGCTGCAAGTCGAAACTCTGCTGGCTGCGCGCTGCACACACACGGGAAGATTGTCGCGGCGCCAGGCCGACCTAGACTGGCATTGAAAGTGGCGATGGAACAAGAAGCCTCGCTCACCACACACCAGGCATTCTGGCGCCAGCTCAGGATTATGCTCGCTGGGCCTGTGCTGGCACCAATGAGAACCCATGAGGAGTCCTCGGAGCGCACACTGCTCTCTGACCCCCCACGGGCCACCCGACCCAACCGCCTCGCCCACCCCGCCGATCCTTCTATGCAGCAGCTCTTTCAGCGGTCGCCAAAAAAGTTCTGCGCGCCAGGCCTTGCCTGGTCCGGTTTTGCCCAAGGCCACTAGGTCCGAAGACCTCCGCGCCGAAAAACGCGCGCGCCTGGCCATGAAAGCGGCCGAGACCTGAGTCAGGTCCCAAACCTGCCCCTGGGCCTCCTGCGCCGAGAAAGGTACCTGGAAGACAAACCCGATCCTCAGGCAGGTTAAGACCAGGGCGGACACAGGGTCCTTGACCAGTGTCCAAGGTTTCGGCCTCTGGGCGACCTCCTGGGCCTTTGCAAACAAAACTGATAGCACGCGCTCAGACAGCCTGCCATCCTTTAGAATCTGAACATACGTCTTGATCGCGTCTGCTGGGACCTGCACCAAGGGATCTCGCGGCCAACCCACACGCGTGCACATCGAAGCCGATCCGAGCGAGCATCCCTTGGGCAGCCTCCCCTCGGCGTTGACAGCCGCAACTCTTAAACTCTTCAGCTTTCCACCAGGCAGCCCCTGGATGTTGGCCCCCCAGAGAGCCTTGGCGGTGACGCCCGCCCGAAAGATTCCACCCTTCGGGGCTCCAGCCTCGCGGAGGCTGAGGACCTTGGCCACCTTGGCCTGGGCGTCCAGGAAGCGGGCCTGGTGGGTAGACACTCGCCGCCTTGCACCATCCGTCGCGCCCCCTCCAAGGTCGCGGTGGACAGACGACCTGGCCTCTTCAGGGAGCTGGCAGCACGAGGCCAGCTGGTTGGCCAGGGAGGCTGACGACGCCAAAAGCCCCAGCTTGTTCCAGGCAATTGGGAGGCCCCTAGCCTGGGGGTCCTGGGTGACAAGACTGAACGCCGACGAAAGCTCCGTGCACACCGTGGCCTGGCCTCCGATGGACTGAAAAGAAATATCATCGATGACACTTTTCAAGATAACTGCTGGGCACGACGACGCCACTCTGCGCAGAACCGACACGAGCAACAGGCGAGCGAGCGAGGTGGCCCCCGACCAGCCAGCAATCACGGTGCCATTCGGCGAGACGGTTCTGGAAATCGCCCCTTGCCAAGACACCCGCCTCGGGGAACGGTAAACCGTGCAATAGGCCCTCAAGAGGGCCTTCGGAAAGGCCACCTGCTCAGCTGCCGCAAGTAATTCCGCGTGGCTGAGATGCTCGTAGAATTTGCGAAGGTCCAGAAACAAAGTGCCCGAAACTAAACCCTGAGTTTCCCGAGCAAAAGCAGCCATAGCATTGTGGACCCATGCGCTCTTGTCGCACGCGGTGGACGTGCTCAAGCCCCAGAAAAAGGGCGCGTCCAGCTCCCTTTCCCGCGCCGCGCATCTGGCATGCCGAATCCTGCTCCACGCTCGGGCCCAGAAGGGGAAGGAGGCCGATCGGCCTTACCCCCCCCCAGACGGTTTCGCAAGAAACACAACCACGACGAGCCACAACGGGCCCACAGAGGGGTCCCGTTCCCAGGCCGTGAGGATATCGGCAAAGGCCTGGACAAGCGCGGGGGAGACTTGAAGAAGGAGCTGGGGGTGAAAGGAATCCCACCCCAGGCCCGTGTCTGGGGGAAACGACTTGGCAGCCACAAGGACCTGCTCCGAGGTAATCGGCGGCAAGCTATCTTCACACCTCCAGCGCCAAGGCGGGGGCTCACCAGCTCGATTATATTTGCACCAAATCGGCAACCACTCTTGTAAAGTCTGCTGCAGTGCGGCATCACCTACTAGGGGAACAGTCACCCCTTCATCAACTTCAGCCAAGACGGGCTGGGGAGGCGCCGAGGGGCCCTTCGAGCACCTGTGAGCGACCCGCCCCCCTCCGACGACGGACGACTGCGCCCGCGACCTCCATGTCTGGCGCCCCTCAGCCGCCTCCTGAGACACACGCTTTGAAACTTCAGCCTGCAGCCAATTCACAACCACCGTTTTTGATGGCAGGCGAGCAGGCTACTGAAAAGAGATTCAACCGTGAAGCCTCTGAGCTCCTCTACCTCAGCACTTTGCAGCAAGTGGGCAAAGGCGCGAGCTTGGCCAGCAGCAAGTCACGATCCTTGACTCGGCGCATGTAGAGCATCGCCAGCCTCCTGACAGCTAGCCAGTTCTGCGTGAGGACCGAGCAGCGCTGGTTGAGATCCTGACCCCAGGCCGCTTGCAGGGGGACCTTCTGAATATGGCAGCCAGACGACCTGCCTACGTACCCCCTGGCTTGTTCCAGCTCATGAAGCTTGACCAGCTCTGCCTCCACCGCATCGAACCACTGGGCAGCGGCCTCCATGGGCCTGTCCAAGTCAAAGCCGTATGCCTGGCCTCCCTCAGGCGCGACGAACCTCAATATCTCCTCGCCCGTCCGCGCCAAGGGGAACGCCTTCGGGACGATCCGCTTCCACACCTTCGCTGCCCCAGCAAGGCCTTTCAGGCGGAGGTGCACCGACGAGTGCGGCCCCGTGGGCGTGCCTGGCCACTCCTGTACTTCATCAATGTGGTAGTCCAATCACCTGCTGACCACAAAGAAGTCGTAACATGTGTCGTGGCAAGTTGGCCCAGGCGGCCGAACTATTGTCACCCCCAGGTGTTCGCACCACCTGGGCTCTCGCAGCGCTCCCGCATCAATGTTCCAGTCTCCAGCTATGAGCACAGGTAGGGGTAACGACGAGGCAAGTTCACGAAGCTGCGCCAGAAACGTGATATTCTTTTCCGCGAGGCCGATCTGCGCGTGGCCGTAGACCGAGATCACCATCAGCTGCACCCGCTCAGACAGAACCAGCCTTCTTGCACGCATCCTCTCCGACGTGCACGCGTGCACCACATCCGTCGCACCAAACCTGGCCGAAGTCAACGCAGCAACTCCCCCTGACGTCGCGTTGTCAGCCGCTACTGTGGAGGCAGCGCACGAAAAGGTCGCCGTGAGACCAGCCTTGAACGCCCATGATCGTGGCCCCTCCTGCTGGGCCTGGGTCAGCCTCGTCTCCTGGAAGAGCCCGATGTCGAACGTGGTAGCCCGAGGCCCCTCTATGGCCCACTCCAGGAACTTGCGAGCCGTTGCCCAGACATTACTATTGTAGATGACTACTTTGAGAACCGAGTCTTCCTCTTGCTGAGCAGTCGCGTTCTCCAGTTTCGAGGCTTGCCCCCGATGGTCGGTACTGCCCCCCTTAGTGGCCGACGGCCGAGGAGGACGATTCGCGCCATCGGGGCCAGCTGCATGGCGACGAATGCCCGCTAGGGGCGCCTCTGGGTCGCACGTGTGGCTGGCCCCTCCCGGGCCCAGCGGCGCGGCGGCGGCAGGTCCCCAGGGTGCTGGAGCCGCTGCGGCGGCGGCGCTCAGGCTGGCCGAAGGAGGGGCCCGTGCCGATCTATGTCCCTCATGTGGCTGGGCCCCCTCTGGTGCCAGCGGCGCGGCGGCGGCGGGTCCCCAAGGGGCTGGAGCCTCCGCGGCGGCGGCGTCACAGCTGGCACCTGAGGGGGCCTGTGCCCCAGCCGAAGACGAACCTCTCGTGGCCCATGTTCCAGTAGGAGATGCCGATGCCGTAGAACGCGTGGGCTCGGGTGTGACGGACGGGGGCTGAATCCCCTTCCCCCGAGCCCGAGGCGACTGGCGCCCCCGCGCCATCGCGTGGCAGGCTCAACAGACCCCCCATCTCGTTCTTGATACTGCGCAGCTCCTCCCAGTGCCGACGGAGAGCCCAGCGCAGCATATCTCTGTCATTAGCTTCACACCAATCGAAGAAGCCGAGAATGTTGACACGATTCTCCGCTCCATCTTCCCAGGCCTCTGCGCAGATGTCCTCCGCCATCTGATCCAAAGACCTGCCCTGGCGAGCCTCCTGCACCCAGTGGTCATGCTGGACCCGCATGAGCAGCTCCCTGACGTAGGGCTTACACCACTGCATCCAGCAGACGGCTCCCGACTCTGGCGAGTGCAGGCGAGGAATCCACCTGGCCGCCGACATCGTGACTCCGTCGTAGAAAGCCGCCTCTGGCCCATCTGGGTCAATGGGCTCGGGAGGCGGTAGCCCCATCGTGCCTGTGCCTGACCCAGGCGGGCCGCCTCGCGCCGCTGGACCCAGCTGATCGGCAGCGACGTCTTTGTTCAGGGAGCTGGCCCCCTCAGGCCGACTTCGTGGCCTGAGGGGGCGGCGGGCGACATATTCTGGCTGCGCGCTGCTTGAGCCCTTCTCCAGCCCCCACTCCTGCAGCTGGCGTCCCAGCGGGCGCAGGCTGGGGGGCCTCCGCGGAAGCGGCTGCCCCAGCGCCTTCGGAAGGCGGTCCAGCAGCTGCCGCAGGCGCAGCCTCAGGGCCAGGAACCGCGGCCTCGGGGTCCTGCCGCCTGCGCTTGCCCGCCAAACGGGCCGCCATCTGCTCCTGCTCCGCCTTGAAGGCCTTGGCCTTCTCCGCCGCCTGGCCGAACATAGCCTTGACCGCCGCCGCCAACTCGGTCTGCAGGCGAGCGGTGCGGTCCTCCAACTCGCGCTTGTCCGCTTCCTCCACAGCATATTCTTCATCGTCGAAACCCAGGCCTGCAAAGGACAGCGGAATCGTCTCAATCGTGCCGTCCAAGATGCCGGCCACACTGAGCGCCTGAGCAGGGGCTTGCTGCGGCGGCACGTACGTCTCCTTGAGCTCCACCACGAGGCGGCAGTGCTCCTTCTCGCGCTCCTCGAGTTCGTCCGTGAGCTGCTGCACCCACTTGCGCTGCTGCTCGAGCCCCTCCTGCAGCCGCTCGAAGTGAGCCAACGCCTTCTCCAGCTTCTGACTGACATCCGCCGCCTGCTTGTGGGCCAAGGTGACCATCTGGGACAGCGGGGCCACGTACGCCTTCTCGGCCGCCTTGCGGCGCCTCTCAGCGAGGGTACACTTGTGCTTCGCCGCGCTGGCCACGTCGCCCACGCGCTCCAGCATCGCCACCATCCTCTCCAGGTCGCCGATGTCCACCTCGGCGCTCTCAGGCTGGGCCACCATGAACTGGGCACCTGGGGCAAGGGGCAGGGCCTGTCCGCCGTCAGCAACGTCTGGGCCCTTGCCACCCTTGCCCTTGCGCCCCTTGCCCTTCTTGCCCCCTTTGCCTCCGTCTCCTTGCCGTGCGAAATCAGCCCAGACTCCTCCAGGCTCAGGTGCTGTGGCAGGAGCAACGTCAGACAACTTGTGGCCACAGGCTCTGCAGTACACACTTCCACGAACATTCCTCTTGCACCCGCACTTTGCACAAGCAGGTGCTTTACCGACCTCCTTCCAACCTTCGTCGTCACCTGGGCCCATGTCTCGCCACTCCCTCCATTGCCCCACCCATGGCGGGGGAGCAGACTTCCTCCACGGAGGCCAGACAGCAGCGGCCGCGGAAGGAGCCATGGGGCGAGAAGCAGGAGGCAGATCCCGCGGGGACTCGGAAGGTACGTCGTAGTAAGTAGAGTGCTCCTCCAGGAGCTCACAAAGTTTTCTGAACCAGCGGAAAGCTGGTGCAGGATCACGGGCGGGGGCGCGCCTCCCCCACGCCAGCAGACTCCTCTCCTGAGCGAAACGCTACGGACTTGAGCCAAAATGGCTACGGACATAGGGAGGAGCAGGAGGAGGAGGAGGAGGAGGAGGAGGAGGAGGAGGAGGAGCAGGAGGAGGAAGAGGAGGAAACACTATAGGCACGCCAGGACGCTGCGCCACTGCTTGAGACCCACCGCTGGCCCCGCCCAGGAAGCCCGAAACCCTGCTGCGGCCGGCCTCGGTCCCCTCGGCGCCCTGCGCCTCCGCGCCCTGGCCGCCCGTGCTGCCCTCCTGGGGAGCGCGGAGGACCGAGTAGGGGATCGACCACAGAATTGATCTACCCGAGTACTCATGTTTTCGTCGAACTCACGAACAAACATACGTTGAATGTTTTGTAGAGCCAGCGAGAAACATCAAGTCTGGGGAAAATCAAGTCTGTAGTACAGTCGGGGCTGATTGGAGAGGAGATTTGAGAGGACACGAGACCATGCCGAGGGCCACAGTGCCATACAGTCATCGGCCTGACCTAAGGAACGATGAATAAGGAACGAAACCCCTTTTTTTATCCCCAGGAATAACCTATAAGAAACGATACATAACAAATAACGCATAAGGAGCTGTAAATAACGCACGCAAGCCTAAGGAACGACCGAGCCCCTTTTGAAAAGTAGGTGTTCCTTATTCAAGCCGCTCACTGTAGGAATGCAGAAGGCATGGGTCGCGAAACACAGGAAACGAACGCGAAGGTACTCTTGATTTGGCAGAGTCGACCTAGTATTCAGCATCGACTGCACTCGAAAGAAGGTACCCCATACCGCTGCTCCCCGGCCCTCCCCTGGTGGTGCGTTCTGACCGAAAACTTCGAGGCGGAGATCCAGCCGTGGCGGCCAGGGCTTCCCTGGAGGCACGCAAAGCGGCGAGCGCAAGGGCAGAGCAGCGGCGTCGGTACCTTCCCTGAGATCCGATGTCTCGGACAAAAACGACGTATATACGGAGAAATCACGACCGGGGCCATAGTCCCTACGTTTCTATACACCCGTTTTCCCTCCGGAGCGATCTGCGAGGGCCCCGGGGCCCGAAAAAGCCGGCGACGACGCCCGGCTCGGAAAACTTGAGACGCCATGCTCTCAGAGCTTTTCCTCCTCCGACCTGTGCCGTCGCGGCGCCCGCGGGCACGCCGGCCGGCTCGGCCTCCGCCTCGGCGGGCTCTGCCGTCCCCGCCGAGGCAGCCTGGCCGTCGGGGGCCCCCCGCGCGGCGCCCTCGGCGGCGGGCTCCGCGGGCGCCGGGCCGCCGTCGGCGGCCTCGCCCGCGGCGCCCTCGGCGGCGGGCTCCGCCGCGGCGGGCGCCAGGTCGCCGTCGGGGGCCTTCCCCGCGCGGCGCCCTCGGCGGCGGGCTCCGCCGCCTGGGCGTCGCTCGGGCGCGGCCCGGCGGCGTGTGGGCGCCGTCGGCGGCTTCGCCCGCGGCGCCCTCGGCGGCGGGCTCCGCCGCGGCGGGCGCCGGGCCGCCTCGGGGGGCCTCCGCGCGGAGCTTCCTCGGCGGCGGGCTCCGCCGCCCGCGTCGCTCGGCAGCGTCCGGCGCCGGGCCGCCGTTCTCGTCGCGGCGTGCCTCGCCCGTGGGCCCTCGGGCGGCGGGCCCACCGCGGCGGGCGCCGGGCCCGCCGTCGGGGGCCTCGGCGCGGCCGCCTCGTCGGCGGGTCCGCCGCCGCGTCGCCTCGGCGCGGCGGGCGCAGGGCCGCCGTCGGCGGCCTCGCCCGCGGCGCCCTCGGCGGCGGGCGCGGCCGCGTCGCTCGGCGCGGCGGCTGCTGGCTGCTCCTCGGGGGTGGCCTGCGTGGTGCCCTCGGCGGCCGCCTGGCAGCTCCGTTCCATTCCGCTCGTCGTCGTCGTCGTCGTCGTCGTCGTCGTCGTCGTCGTCGTCGTCGTCGTCGTCGTCGTCGTCGTCGTCGTATTCTGAGATGGGGTTCTTGTTGTGACGTAGACGCCGCCGACTACCTTCACACACCCTCCTCCTCCTACTCCTTGTTCGTGTTCCTTTTCCTCCCCACTCACCCAAACACTCAGTAAGGCTCAGACCGACCCATCAGCACCCCAGCCTCAATCACACCCAGGCTCCCTCCAACGCAGACTCACTCACACTCAAACTCACTCACTCCGCTCGTTTTTTTGTTCTGGGCGCTGGCTCGACCAACTCTAGCATGTGCACAAGATGAGCGGGGAACTAACAGCTGGTCTTACGCAAGAGGACATAGCGGCCTCACGCCGCGGCCACTGCGCGGGCTGCCAGCGTGGCACACCGCGTGGAGCAGAGGGCACTTGCGCGGCATTACTCAGGAGGCTTCCGCGCGAATGTCCGCGCAGCCGACTCCGTTTCCTTGCAGCGCTCAGATTGTGATCTTCTGCTTGGGCAGCATCGAGGGCGGGTTTTCGTGAGGCCTGCTGTCTCGCTGAGCGGCATACTGCTGGGACAAGGAGTCGGGGATGTCGCAAGGGGCGCAAAGATTTCTGAGCCACTTGGGGGGCATCCTCGAGCCCTGGGGTGTGCTCAGGGACTTTGGACTGGACGCGCCACGCCGCAAGCAAGCAGCGTCCCAAGGTCTCGCTCTCTGGGAATCATGCCTTGCGCAGGGCCGAAAGATTTACGGGTACCTCGCGGGAGGAGGTCTCTAGGTTGACCAGCGACGCCAGGGCTACGCAACGGCCTCCGCGAGAGGTAATGCCAGGTGCCCTCAGCCGGCCTCCTTAGGTAGCCTGGGAAGTCGCAACGCTGCAAGGTGCGGCAAGTTCGTGTCGCGAGGACCTCGGCGGAGGTTTCTGACACCGCGGGGATCGTTCAGCCTTCGACGCCGGCGGCGTTTCGATCGCCAGAGCGCTCCATCTTGGCCCGTTCTGGGCCGCTGGTTCTGGGCCACTGGCGGAGTTCAACCTCGAACACCCGCGCTGGTGTCGCAGCATCGTCGACACGACGCGAGCCTGAGGCGGGGGGCCAGCTAAAGATGCAAGACCCTTGGGTGCCCATGCGGTAATACTTGCTGCTACGTTGAGCCGGAAAGCCCAAGATAAAATGATCCCCTTGCAGACCTTCATACCTCAAGGCAGGGCTATAAGGGCCTTGCGAAGCAGTGCGTATACAGTTCACAGGCGGCCCATAGTAAGGACGCAGTGCATCCTTACTATGGCTTCTGGCCCTACCGTAGAGGGACCTATTGAGACCAGCTGGGGCCACCTCCAAGGGCTGCAAGTGTGCGATCCCAGGATTTGCTGATTCTACGACACTGGACGATGCCGTAAACATACGCTTCCGGAGGTCCATGTGGATGTCTCAGGTCGGCGCCTCCCCGTGGCCCTCCCGCAACCCTCTCTCGACGTGTTGCAGCAAAACATGCAACACAATAGAGTGGTACCTGATGGGCCTGTTTTCCACCACCACCACCATGAGTTGGAGGGGGAGGGGGTCCTCCTCCTCCTCCTCCTCCTCCTCCTCCTCCTCCTCGTCCTCCTCCTACTCCTCCTCCTCCTCGTCCTCCACCTCCTTCCCCTCTCCAACTTATGGGGGTGGTGGTGGTGGAAAGCAGGCCCATCAGTGCCTTCCTGCACTGAGCACCCCCCCCACTCGACCGAGAGAACGCGAGGCGGGCTCCCCAATAGGAGCAGCGGGCCCCTCGGGGCCTTAAGCGGCCGCGACGTGCTCCTCTACTCTCATCCTTCCTCCCTCTCCTCCCTCCTCCTCCTCCTCCTCCTCCTCGTCCTCCTCCTCCTCCTCCTCCTCCTCCTCGACGACGCGAAGCGGGACCCCCGGGGAGCACCGGGCAACCTTTTTGGGGGCCCGGCGGCCGCGGTGTGCACGGTGTGGGCGAGGCGGGTCGAGAACTCGCCCCCTGGACTATGTTGCTCCCATCGGCCTGACCTAAGGAACGATAAATAAGGAACGAAGCTCCTTTTTATCCCAAGGAAAAACGCACAAGGAACGATGAATGATAAATAACGCATAAGGAACTGTAAACAACGCCTGTAAACCTAAGGAACGACCGAGCCCCTTTTGAAAAGTAAGTGTTCCATATTCAAGCCGCTCACTGTATCCCAGAAATAATTTCGAGCACCCGAAAGAGTGTCGAAACGGTGTCGAAACGGTGTCGACAGAGTGTCGGACGAGTGTCTCCCAGGGCCCGACGCGTGAAAACCCGGGCGTTTGGGGGGTTACTTTTCTGGTGCTCGAAATTCTAGTGATCAAGGCTGAAGTAAGTTGGAACATCATAATCCAATAGCCCTTATAACTGCGACGAGGCGACGATCGAAAGCAGTGCCCCGGCACTGCTTTGAACGCGTTCAAAGCAGTGCCCCGGCACTGCTTTGAACGTATGATATGATGATATGATGATGATTATGATTGATGATGATGATGATGATTTTTCCAGCGTACACTGTCCGCAACTGCGGCAATCAACATCATGCTCCACTTGCCCGCAACTGCGGCCATCACCAACGCTGCGCCTCGAAGCTCCACGGAGGGCGCTCGGCAGGTCGCCCGCTCGAGCCCAACTCGACTTCACGCTGAGGAGGCGAGCCCTCAGGGGCATTGTCCGCAACTGCGGCATGATCAGAGGGCCACCACTGCGCGCCATCAGCGCCCCATTCGCTCGAGCTCCAGTCCCACCAGGACCAGCCCTGCCATCTCGTGGCGGGACTGCGCGCCTCCCATGCGCCGCTGCCGCTGGCGTCCCAGGACCCAGCCGCCACTGCGGCACAAGAAGGGGTCGCATCGTCGCCGTTGGAAGCTTGCGGCGGTGGCGTGTTCCCAGCTCGCTCAGCCCCAGCGTCTCTCCCCGCAACTGCGGTTCCCATCTGGGGTCGGACGCCCTTCCCCGCAACTGCGGCGTCCGCGTAGCTGCCCTTCTTGCCGCCCTTCTTGCCGCCCTTCCTGCCGCCCTTCCTGCGTTCCAACCTCGCGGCGAGTCTTTCAGGTGACCTGCGGCACGTATTGTGCGTGAAAGCCACCAGAGGGAAGTGCGCTCCGTGCCTCGCCCTGCCGAAGGCGCCATGCCATATCTTGTCGTCGAGGTTGCCCTGCTTCACTCTGAAGGGATGGCGCGCCCAATCGTCGCGTTCCCTGCGCGCCATCCTTTGCTCGAACTCCGCAACTGCGGTCAAGGATTCGCCAGATGGCGTCAGGAAGGCGCGCATCGTGTTTTCAACGGGCTCAGCCTTGGGCACGTAAGTCTGAAGCATCTTCCCAGGGCCATTCGTGTAGTCGAAGACAGGGAAAGACGGATCATGCTGGGTCGTCAAGAATCCGCCCTCACGGTCGTGCAGAACACTCAGGCCATGGTGAAGCTTGTACTGCCCAGGACAGTTTATGAACAAAATCGCCGTGCTGTCTGCCCTGGGCTGGCCGCCTGCTGTCTTCCAGGGGGTCCACGCGGCGACGTCCACAGTCAGGCCGCAATTGCGGCACCAGGACACAAGCTGGAACATGCACATGTTGAAGTCCCCCATGCAGACCTTCACGTCCCATTCCCTGACGTAGGCGACGAACCAGTTGTAGAACTCATGGAGCTTCGTGACGCCCCAGTATTGGTTGGCCAAGCTGTGGTGGACGTGCACCGCCATGACGTTGAAGGAGCCCCCCAAATGGGTCACGGCCTGGTCCAGGTGGACGCGCACCACCATCGCCCTGGAGTACTTGTTGTGCAGCTTTGGCGCAGGAGCCTCCGCAACTGCGGACGGTTTCTTCTTCTTCTTCTTCTTCGTTTTGGACTTCTCCTGCTTGTGGAAGAGTCTCGCAAAGTCTACGTGTTCAATGTGGCCGCCACTGCGGTCCCTCATGCCAACAAGGAGGGTCCCTGATGGCTCGCCGCCCTTAACGCACAGGTAGTTGTATTGAGTCAGACTCCGAAACCTATCGTCCGCAACTGCGGCTGCACTGTCCCTCGCGTCGTGCTCCCCACTGAGTACCGCGCAGGTCTCGTCGTCGCACTCGCAGAGGGCGATGATCTGGGCAGGGTTCGCGCGGAGCTGCGCCCACTCGTCCGCGCGTTGCGTGGGTCTAGCTGCAGTCCCTCCGAAGGTGGCCACGTAGAAGCCGACCCGTCCCGCTTCGAACTCCGTTTTCTCCTCCCATGCGTCGACAAGAGCTCTTTGTTTTTCCGACAGATTGCTTGTCTCGATGATGGGCACCCGTTTCCAGGGTATCCGCGACGACAACACTCTCGGCATGTAGGAGTCATGTGCTGCCGCAACTGCGGCTCCCGCACCTCCCCGGGACTCAGCCTCGTCAGCGGAGGCAGCCGAGGACGCGACGGTGCTGTCGCCATCTTGCGTCCGCTGGTCGTCGTCATCATGCGCAACTGCGGCTTCCTCGTCTTTGCCTCCCTCCTCCTCCTCAGCGTTGTGGATGAACACCGTTCTGGCGAATCGAGGTCCACGGTCCATACTCCCTGAGGATGCGCTCGGGCGCGCGGGCGGCCACATGCTTGCGTCTTCGCGTGCGCCACCTCGAGCCACGGTGGCTACGGAAATGGATCGTGAATGGCATGGGGTCGGATGGAGGGAGGAGACAAAGAGGATTCGAGGAGTGGCAGAAGGAGGGCGAGGACTCAAAGGAACCGAAAGAACAACAAATGGACTGGCGGAGAAGCAGAAGGAGGGCGACGATTGCAAGGGACTGTGAAAGGATTATTTTCACAGCAGCAGGAAGACCGCAACTGCGGTTTTGCCTCATCACCTGCCCGCGCGGGAGCCGCTTGGAAAAACAACTTCCCTCTGGACTTCCTGTGGGTCCGCAACTGCGGCCTGCATCACGCTAGGGCTGGGATTACCAGCGCCATTGGCCCTCCCAGGGTTCTCACTGTTTCCGAATGCACGAACTGCGACAGCGCCGAACGGTTCCCAGACGCCGCGTCGTTCGCGACTTTTTGCAGCCACCCAGCAAACGTGAGCGGCCATTGCTCCTTGTGCTGCTTGCACATCTCCTCGTCCCAATGCGTCTTTAACCATGCCCACTCCCCCCTCTGCTCGTCTGAGAGGACGCCTTTTCCGCGAGCCAGGCGATCCAGAGCTGCCATCCTGTTTTTCTTGATCTTGAACTCCTCGGGATTCCACTTCGCTAGGGCGTGTTTGTTAGCCAAAGCCGTTTCCACCGCAACTGCGGCCTCCTTCTTTGCCCTCAAGGCGGCCTCGGCCTCTCGAATCTGCTTCTTGAGATCGTGCAACGCCTTCGTCATGTCGTTCGCTTCCAGAGCCAGGCGCCGCTTTTTCGCCACCACTGCGGCTTCGTGGTCTCGCTGGGCAGTCAACGCTCGTAGGACCTCGTTGTCCTCCCGCGCCAGCTCTCTCAACCGCTTCTTTTGTTTGTGTCGTTGCTGTCGGCAATCCTGCGCTAGTTTCTCCATGCCCACTTGGCGAAGCATATCTTCCGCCTCGCGGAGCGTTTCTGCCAAGGACGTCGCCACTGCCACCTGCTCGGCCGCCTCTGCGTCGACCACGCAGTCCATGGATACCGAGGATCCTTGAGGCCCAGGTGCCGCAACAGCGGCATCGCACTGTTCCGCAAGAGCCTCGGCCCACGAGGCCTCCTCTTGCTCTTCGTCCTCCTCGTGCTCCTCGTGCACCTCCTCCTCC